ATATGTAGTCCCCCCAAATTGCGCGCCGAACAATTGTCGGTCTTGCAACGCAACTCTAATAATAATCTGATTTTTAAATGTCCCCTCTTCCTAATTATTGTAATTTGACTCTTATTCGCCCTGTTTAACGTATTAATTATTATTATATAAAAGAGTCCTTGTAATCTTCAATTTATTAGTATTTATTATTTTTCTAAGGCCGTAAGAGGGTGCACCCAAAAGCACGATCGCTCACTGAGCTTTTTTATCTAATTGGCATATTCTATTAGATTTAAAAATATAAACAGATACAAGAGCGAGCTCACTGAGCGCTCAGTGAACGGTCGTGCTTCTGGATGCACCCAGTGTGAGCACTCAGCGAGCGGTATAAGCGATATAAAACGCTCACATAGCTCACTGAACACTCACACTCTCACAGTCTTAAAAAAATAATAAACGATAATAAGTAAGAAATATAATATTTAAAGTTATTTATAATAGATAAGTTATATTACGTTACGATTATCATAATAAATAAAAAATAAACATATCAATTTCTTTCTTGCTCAATGAGCGCTCAATGAACGGTCGTCGTAGGTCGCTTCTGAATGCACCCAATAGTCGCATTCAGCAAACTCAACTGTCGTGTGGAGCTAATTCGTGTGAGCGGTCGCTACTATTGGATAATCTAAATCTAAAAGAATGCACCAATGGCAATCATTGGCAGAACTACTACGCACTCAATACACTTTAAAGCATCGACATATAGAAGACCGCTGATATGGTAGTATTATAGTGATATGGCAGTATATAGAATGGACCGCTGATTGTAATGGTGGGGGTAGAAAGACGAGTAGAGTGAGAGGCAGAAATAATATGATCGTTCTTTCTCTGTTTACCGAAGCTGATTGTTGGATTAACAGCGACCAATAGTAATCAGTAGTTATCAGTAAACAGAGAAAGAACGATCATATTATTTCTGCCTCTCACTCTACTAGTCTTTCTACCCCCACTACTACCATCAGCGGTCCATTCTATATGTCGATGCTTTAAAGTGTATTGAGTGCGCAGTAGTTCTGCCAATGATTGCCATTGGTGCATTCTTTTAGATTTAGATTATCCAATAGTAGCGACCGCTCACACGAATTAGCTCCACACGACAGTTGAGTTTGCTGAATGCGACTATTGGGTGCATTCAGAAGCGACCTACGACGACCGTTCATTGAGCGCTCATTGAGCAAGAAAGAAATTGATATGTTTATTTTTTATTTATTATGATAATCGTAACGTAATATAACTTATCTATTATAAATAACTTTAAATATTATATTTCTTACTTATTACCGTTTATTATTTTTTTAAAACTGTGAGAGTGTGAGTGTTCAGTGAGCTATGTGAGCGGTTTATGTTACACCTAAAATGTATTTATAGTAAAATTGTTATTACATGTATTTATAGTAAAAAATTATTATATATATCAATCGATGAATTTAAAAGCTCATCCATTGTATAATTATGTCCTATGTATACTATTATAAATCTTATTATTTGAAGAAAGTTTAGAAAGACTTGTTCTATGCTGAAACGAAACGTGTATTTATTTTTTTATCAATACAGCGCTTTGTATAACTGACACAAGTGCAAGATAATATTTTAATGTCATCTAAAGCATAATAGACGATAGATGACATTAAAATCTCTTTCTGTAAGTCCAATTAGATTTTCTTGCGGAATTTGGCTTGCTTACTCTTGAGGATAGAATTGCATGAAACATTTAAATACATCGCGTCCCATTTCACAACCGGTTCCAGCTGAAACAATTTCAGTATTTCATTTTATTTTCATTTGAGAGAAAAATAGTTGAGAAGACCGCCATGAGATCACAAAATATAGTCTATTCTGTAAATGGATAAAAGTTGATCTTGACTCTTAAATTCATGTTTTACTTACTGACGTCTTTACATGCATTAATCATTTCTTCAATTTTTTCTGACGCTATGTCTTTTTTTTCCAGATTAGCACGAGCTACTTCCACATCAATTTTTCCATCCGCATTCATCTAAAACAGAGATAGAAATAAATTTCTTATCAGTTTATTTTCTCAATGTAGATTATATATAGGGTGTTCTAGAATTTTTGAGGATAATAAATTATTACAGCATAAAAGTTTATGAAAAACGAAATAATAAAAGTGTATGCCATTTTTTTCGTAAAGTTTTTTAAGTATAGTTGTTTTAGTATAAATATTTAAAGTTTAACTATAATAATAAGTGTTGATTAAAAAATTATCTGTGCGTGTGATAATATACATGCAGTGGCAATATTTTATTCAGTATCTATATCATTGCACGCACGTCACACGGACAAATGATTTTTCAACTAACACTTATGATTAGTCGAACTTTAAAGTTTACACTTAAAAAAAATACTTTACGGAAAAAGGGCTTATATTTTTATTATTTCATTTTTCACATTGTAAATTTCACACTGTAATAATATTATCTTCGAATTTTAGAACACCCTATATGTAAAATATAATTCGAATCTCGCTTACAGTTCCGGATTTCTTTAATAAACAAGTTTTGTAACAGTTTAATTTTTCGTCATTGTCATCTTTCCATTTGTTTACGACTGTACCTGATATTTAAATTATTATTAATGTAATTATTTATTTAAGTTTTTTAATCATGCAATTAGTTTATTCTTTACTTACTTTCATTGAGACCGTTTTCATTCATACAGGATTCGTGATGCTCTTTATGTTTTGCTATGTCTTCGTCTGTCAATTCTGGATGACCCTACAATCAAATAATTAGTATTTGAGTATTATAATTATTATTCATATATTATGTTAATATTATATATAATATTTAACGTATTTTTTAATGTGCCTATATTTAATGTTTCCAACGATTACAAAATATTTCCATAATCAAAGAATGGAAATAACTCGTTACTTGTAACAAAGTTTTACAAGTTACTTTTTGGATAACTTCTCTGATACCTGCGGGCGTTACTTTTCTTTTTTTTAGTAGCTATAACGGTAATGTAGTTACATTTTTTTAGTGACGGTAACGAATTGTACAATTTTTATTATTACTTGGCATACATGATTGGATACAATTCACAATTGGAATTATTTTATATTTCTACGTAATATGTCGGATAGATATCTCAGTTTGTCGTATATTTTATACATATTTTAGAGTTATGACATAATGTTTTAAAGAAAAAAAATAAAGCTAGAGAGTGTCATTATTGTATATTGCTTTTATCAACATTTAAACAAAAATATTGTAAAAATATATTTTTTAGATTGATTTTAAAAAAGTAACCGAAAATTAACGAAAAGTTACTTTGTAATGGTACTTTACTGTAATGACCCATACGGCATAAAAGTTGCAGCAACATTACTGCAATATTCCTGCAACATTTAACATTGTAGTCATATTGCAGCAATGTTGCTGCAAGCAACTGTGCTGTGCGGGGAGTTACTTTAAAAAGTAACTTTCCATTCACTAGCCATAATAATCTCGTGGAAATGAAATAAATATATTTTGACAAAGAAATAATACGCAATCTAAAAACAAATTAGAGAGCTTTGGCAATAGAATTTTAATTTAAGAATGTATGCGAATATATTAGTAAGTTTAATTGAATCAAAGTAATAATGAAAATTAATTATACTAACAATAAGTTGTAGAATATTTTATAGAGAAATAGATTAAATAGATTATTTGAGAAATAATCTTACCAAGACGGCGACGAAGGAAATGGCAAACAAGATAACAATTGTTTTCATTTCGATTTTTCTTTTCAGCACGATGGGGATTCAAACCTGTGATCAAAGAGGTACTGACTAATCACAAGATAGTGTCCTGAGCTTTTATAGTTTGCGACATAATGACTCTCCTTGATTTCTTCTCTAGCAACATGCGTGGGGGAGTACCCGAGTTATATTTGTTATTTTTTCAAGGTAGCAACAAATTGTTGCAATAATAGCAAAAGTATTAGGTTGCTACAACTTAATTCTTAGCCGTTTTTATCAAGTTTCATGTAAAATTATATTATAAAAGAACGAATATTAACTTAATCAGAGTAATTCTCTTCACTCTTACCATACATTTTCGGCATCTTTCAGACAACTGTCGGATTCGACTGCTTCGGAAAAAAATGGTTATT